AGCGCCGGCCGCGATAATGAGGTTTTTTTCCTCGTCTTTTTTAATAACGCCAACCCGTGTGTTTCTTAAGTAACCGCGTGAAAGGAAGTCTGATAAAACAGCCACAATCCCCAACTCGTAATTAAAGTTGTCCTCGCGCCGCCCTGGTGCACTCTTACGCCGAGAAAAAACGTCGTATGAACATGCGAGCGCTTGCCAAATTTAATCCGATTAAAAATGTACTCTCCTAAAAATCAGGGTGGCCGCGGTTTGGGGAAATATAGACAACCGGGAATACTTAAGGGGACGACTGAGAAAAGTCAAGGGAAAAAGCTTGATGACTCAGAAATCGGATATAATTGCGTCTTTGTGAAAAATAACGAAAAGGTGAATCCAGTGGGTTATAGAGGCGAGGTTTTAATCGACTATCGATATTTCTCCCATTCGAAGCCGTGGTAAAGAATCGATTAATGATTGTAGTATCGAACTCCCCTCTCGTCAATCCTTTCAATAGGTTTAAATGTCAGATCAATCGATATATCACAAAGTGCGCCACGCCACCAGTAGGTTGGCAACAGTAGCTTTCCTCTCTTTAAATTTGTGTTGAATAAATCGATACCTGTCAAAGCACCTGGCGGATTTGTTCCGTCCGAAAATCGATTAATTTCCCTAGGTTTTTATGGAGAGAAAACAATGCCGCCGATGTCCTGGGTCCGCAAATTAGTAAAAGTGTGCCATCACATAGTTTTAGCTCGTTCCGGATACAAATTGGAGAAAGTTAAAAGTTCAGTTATCATCCAATGCTGTCCCACAAGTGAGAAATTTGTTCAATACAGTCTGAGAAAATTTGAATTTTTGGAATTTCACCAACTTGAAATTTGGTTTTTCAAATTGTTTTAAGTCACCCTCAAAACCTTGTAAATTTCTGTCTTTGGAATTTTTAGAGACATTCATTCGCAATTTGATCTGATTTATTTAAAATTTCCAATGACAAACATCCATAACTTTCCTTAAAAATAAATATTTTATCGGTGGGAATTCGGCAACATTTGAATATGCTCATACAGCGTTTTTCCTTAGCGTAGGCGCGGTGGCTTTTCAATTTTCTCAAAGCTCGAACTTTTCCCCTTAAATTTTTCCCCGCACCGGTGAGACGTCAAGAATTCTAATTAATTTCTGGCTCTTTTTTTTCTTTTTACTTCCGCCGCGAGGGGGTAAAAGAACCCGGGAAAGAGTCGGAGAATATTTTATCTTGATTGAGCGCAAGTATGTACTTTAATTTCCTCGGCGAGGGAAAGTTTTCATCCCCTCCGGGATGGCTCTTAGTTAGCTGGCTAAAATTAGAGACGGGAAACAAAAGTGGAGAGAAAATGTCGGAGGGACGCCCGCCTTTCCTCTTCATTATTTGATCGTTGATTAGCGGCGAGCTTTTCTCCCCTTCTCGGCGGTCCAATCCCTGTCCAGCCCTGCGCGTCCCTCCCGTGCTTTTTCCAGTAATTAAACGTCTATGTGTTAATTGAGCCGGCTCCGAGAGCTTTCATTGGTCCGTGGCGCGCCCTGCGCCTTGAGCCCTCTCTCGGACTCGCTTGTCCCTTCCCTCTATTTATCCGCTCGAAATGTATTCCAGCGTCCATCTACGCTCCTATTCTTGGCTCTATGTATTCGCGCGTCCCCTATCACTTCAAAGCCCGGCTCTGTCCGCAGCAGTCTCAACCCTTCTATTGTCCGACGCATTAGTAGTCGCCCTTTCAAATTCGCCGCGGCTCTCACCCCCCTCTTATGCTTTATCGCTATTCATATCCGAGATGCTAGAAATCAGGGTCGGCGCATCAGGGAAAAGAGATTCCTATCTCAATTTTTTTAGTTCGGCCCCGTTTTAAAGGTAGTTTTGAAGAATGCCCTGTTTTGAAGTTCTGTCATTTGTTCAAATTCTGCGCGGGTGTTCTTTAATATTTAACAAGCAGGAGCGAAAGGAAACCCATATTCCGCCCTTTGCAAATACCACTAATTCCCTATCAATAAGATTCGACTGAAACTACGCACCTGAACCTTTTTCTTCCTAAAAGTTTTGCTTTTGCTCCCCTTAAATAGACCCCTTTTTCTTTTCCTTCCCTGCAAATTATGCCCCTTCTAAATAACTTACCCTTCTATTTCTGATAAAATCTCCTGAAATCGAATTTTTTTTAGAAGAAGAAACGGACAGCTCCATTCCAAAGGTCGAAAATTTTCTCCAAGAGTTCAATCTCTCACGAGAATACAATTGCCCTATTTCGCTACAAAATTCTGCAAAATTTCTTTTGTTAGAGTTAGAGGACGTTTATAAAACATGTAAAACTAAATTTGGGATTTTTTGACCCCCCCCCCCCCTCCTCCTCCTCTCGGCCACCCCTCCCGTAACGTTTTTGTTGACTTTCAACCCCCTCATGAGCGTTACGTATTTTATGGACGGCACTTAATCTGAGAAAAATAACTGCAAAATCTTTAGGTATAATCGGACGACAATTTTCTAGTAAAAAAAGGCTATTTGCAATCGGAAATTTTGCAGTGCTGAATGTATTTACGTCCTTCCGCTTAAGAATCGATGGAATGACGTACACTGGAAAAACAAAACACATTGGATCTAGAGTCCAGACTCTTGAAAACATTGACAAAAAAAATACTCTTAATTCAATCAGATTTTTGCTTAAATCAAAAGGAGATCCGCTCAAATTAAGAGGCTTGGTTCTTGATTTAAGCTTAAATCTGATTGAATCAAGAGTATTTTTTCTTGTCGATGTTTTTAAGAGTCTGGACTCTAGATCCAATGTGTTTTTTTCCCAGTAGACCTGATCCATTTCTCCTGCAGTTGGAAAACTCCTGCAATCACCTGCAGTTTGTCGAGGGGAAAAGGCGTAACAAAGCGACGGATTTACATCTTCGGAAATAATCCTTGATTCGAGCAAGGTGGTCACAGGCGGGAGTTTACAGGCGGTCATTCGACAAGGAACCTCCCGCACGGTTTTCAGCTCATCGACAAAGGGGTCCCGCGATCCCGGAGCGGGCTCAAATCAGGGGCCCAAAGGACTCCCGACGGAATTAGCATGCTCCTTAAAATGCAGCGGGCATTTACGTCGGCGCATCCTCTCTCGGCGCGAGGATCCGGAACGAAAAACATCCAGTAATAAGGCTCAAAGGCTCACCAGCCGACCGGGCGGGAGGGGGCGGCGGGGGTCTTTACGTATTCTCGTCATGGGCACAGAAGCGCTTGCAGATATTGATTGACACGGCGAGTTGACTGTTGTCCATCAGTCAATTGTTGCGCGGAGGGGCAACCGCCGGCCCCCTTCCGCAAGAGGAGCATAAATACCGCGGCGGCTAATGAGCCATTCTTACTATCGCGACACAATAACTCTTCGTCACATTCTGACTTTTAAATGAATTAAGAGCCAGGCCAACTTTCGATTCAAATTCAAACGGACCGACCGGGATCCTTGTAATCAAATAGTTTGCAGAAACAATCACAGCACTCGGGCCCGGAGTTGCCGGGTCGAGCCACCGCCCGTCGATGAGACTCCTTGTGTCGCCGGAATCAACAGTAACGACCAAATTTTTCGAAATCCAATTTCCATCTGAAGTCTCCTGGGCTAACTTCAAGGAATCGGTACGTCTAGGTACATCAAGGTCGTATTTAAATCCAAAGAAACTATGTCCATTCTGATATGAACCCTGAGATCCGTAAAAATGCATGCATGACAGGGCTCATGTCGCAATGGATGTAGTTCTTTTTCATTTAAAGCGTCCAATTATACTGCCATTTTGTGGAAAATAAGAAGTAATAGATAGCTGTAAGCACAGTAAAATTGCCGTCTAACGAATATCAGAGAACTTGGCAGTAAGTGCACCGTTAATAACAGTTCATACTGATGTCTCGTGAAAATCGACACTTTTTTGGACTACTAACTATTATATTTCTTTGCTGTTACTTGGGTTAGTGACCATACCAGGAAGCAAAAGTCGTCACGTACTCTGCCGTGCTAAGCAAGAACGCCGTAAATCCATCAAGATTTTCCCGCGTTTTTTGGAACTTAACACTTTATAAAATAAAAATTTTTTTACCTGTGCAATTCAAATTTTCAGGTCAAGTTTTTGACAGTATTTGCGAAAGAATTCTGTAAAAACATTGTCCGCAGGTACACAAGTTTTTCTGCTATGATGCATCGTCTCCAAAAAAAATTAAAATGGCGTTTACGGCGTTTTTCCATTGCACGGCAGTACTGCAGTCTTGTGTAATATTACAAAAAGAATAGATCCTATGTTCCCATGGTCAAAGGTACAATTTATCAACTTTTAATAGTTCCAAAATAGTATCTTCAAACGTTATCTTATGTTAAATGTCACGTGTATTGCGTTCAAATGTTATGTAAGGGACTTTTTCCAGTTTTTTTGCCCAATCTCCTTTCCAAGGGCAAGGCCCCCTTTTCCCACTTATGAAGTATTCCTACAGTGGCCTATAGACTTCTCCCTTCTTCTCCCTGTCCTCAAATATTTTACCCAGTATCATAACAGCCCTTCATTATTTTCAAGAGGCTAACCGTTCGTAGTTCTATGGAAAATTGCAAATTATTCCAAGATCATTTTTCGCTCGACGAGTGAAATTCGCATTTTCTCAACATTTCATTTTTGCTCATAACCACGGAAACATCCGGTAGCAGGGCAAGGTTAAAAGGAAAATTGACGATATTTCGCGAAAATTTGGCATCGTCGCATGTACCTCATTGTTGAGACATGGCAGGAAGACCTGGCTCGGGATCCACGGCCGCCCTTTGCTCCTCCTCTCTCTCACTCTCTCTTTATCTTCTCCCGCGTCTCGCTCGCTCTCATTCTGGACGCTTCTGTTTGCGCGTCCCGCTTTGAAATCATCTTTTATCATTTGAATTTCATCACGTAAAACAAAATCAGAGCTATCTCGCGCGGCTTCTCTTCATGTGGGCTCAATATTGAAATTAATAGACAAAGATATGGACAAAGACGGGAAAGGGGAAATGGAGTTACCTCTATCGGTGGAGGCGAGTGGTCACAACGGTCAAAGGAGGTAAGCAACGGGCTAATTAACAGCAAACCACGAGGGATTATAATGTTAGTCCATTATTTTACCTTATAGTATATACCAACCAAACGTTTGAACCAATAGGATCGCTCCATTTCCCCGTTGTCTTCTTTGTCTCCCGTTTTGTCCATCAATTTTATAATATTAAGCCTCCTGAAGGGTTACGGGTGAGAGCAGGGTGTCTACAAGTCCGGAAGTAGTACTGACTTTTTAAGGGGGGTCCGGAAGTACTGAAAAAGTGCGGAAGTTCCGCAAAAATGTCCGGATTTTTTTTTAAATTTTTTGTCATTTTTGTCGCAATTTCAAGAGAGAGACGGAACAGCACTGCCATGCCACCGTTGGACACATCATAATAAATTTTAATCCAACTTAACGTCTAATTTCCCCAAATTTCAACAAATAAGAGACACCTCAATACGCATTGATGACGGCGCTAGGATGCAACTATTCGTGCTTGATAGATGACCTTGTTGCCAAAGCAAAATTGAAGAGGCGTCAACTCGCAATACTTCGCTCTATGTTGCCAATGGGGTGTCATGTAGATCTGGGAGGAACGTTAAAAAACGAGGCCGAATTACGTCTATCCCATCTTAGGCTGTGTTATCCACGCACCCGTATCCGCACCCTTTGAAGCAACACTATAGAAATAAGGCTAACGGATCGGACGTAACATAACCTGACAAAGCAGGGAAAGGACTCGCGTTGATGACGGCGCAGAGATACAACTATTCGTACTTGATGGATGTCCGTGTTGCGTCTGAAAAATTGAAGGGGCGATGGCGTCAAGCGTGAATTCGCAATGCTCCGCTCTATGCTCCTAGTGAGGTGTCTGTCAGATTCGGGAGAAAAGTTAAAATACGAGGCTGAATTACGTCTCACCAATGATTGGCTGTCTTATCCACGTACCCGTACCCTTTGAATCACCACCATAAAAATAAAACAAACGGAACCGACGTTACATGAAAATAAACCAAAGGAAAGGACTCGCGTTGATGCATGACGTCGCAGAGATACAACTATTCGTGCTTTATGAATGCGCGTGTTGCGTCTGCAAAATTGAAGGCGCGATGGTGCAAGGCGTGAACTCGCAATTTTCTCCTATTCATGCTGCCAATATAAGATGTCGCTTAGATTCGGCAGAAGAGGCAGACAACAAGGCCCGATTACGACTCTCCTGTGTCTTCGGTTGTGTTGTGTGTCGATAATATCGGGGGAGGGGGGGGGGTTGGTTTGTAGACCTGTATCTAAAAAGCGAACCTCAAGTCAAGTTGACCCGGTTTGAGCGTCTGAGGGTCAAGTTACTACGTGTTTTACTCCTCATATGAACACAAAATGTCGGTTACTTTTTCTCACTTGGTGATAGGTAGGGTACCTATCCAGAGAGAGGACAAACTTGTCTCTGGGACAAACATGTCGGTAATTTTGAGGTTAGATCATGGTGCTTTTAGGGCCCAAAAAGGAAGCCAACCATGAATTCAAATTATCCAGATAGATTTATCATCACTATTCACTGGGGGGAAAAAAAACATTGGATCTAGAGTCCAGACTCTTGAAAACATTGACAAGAAAAAATACTCTTGATTCAATCAGATTTACGCTTATATCAAAAAGAAATCCGCTCAAATTAAGAGGCTTGGTTCATGATTTAAGCTCAAATCTGATTGAATCAAGAGTATTTTTTCTTTTCGATGTTTTTAAGAGTCTGTACTCTAGATCCAATGTGTTTGTTTCCAAGTGTTGTTACGACCCGTCGTTTCTAAAGTACGTACCTGACTTACTTTTTGCATTTACTCAGTTTTGCGAAATAAAGCTCGTTAATGAAGATTCTTGACGTATTAGTTTTATATCATAGAATCTGAAGATTGCAGTGACATTTTTTGTGTTGGACGGTTGACTCACCTTTTGGGCCCTACGAGCTCCACATTTGGACCTACCTGTGCTCTCTTTATGTAGATACTTTCGTGATGGCAAGTTCAACTTCCTCATTCCGTTCGTCATTTGTTCGGGGGGAGGGGGGTCGATGCGCTGTAATTAATCGGAATCCTCCCTGAAAGCGTCTCGCTGATCGGATGGACGGCGATGAGCGGGGTCCTCAGAGGAGGCCGACTCGAAGCGGAGCCGAAGCCGGCGCATGAGCATTGAGCATCTTATTAAATTATTCAATAGCATTATTTATTAGGTTCGTCAACGGTCGGTTGACAATTACCGCGTCCAGGCTCCGGGTTCCCGCGCAGGCGCAGACCGCGGGGCGGGACGGGGTCCGCGAGCATCAATGAAGTCGCAAGCCCGGCTTCATTCACAAGCCCGAGACCGGCTCCACGCACGGTGGTCAGTATTCCAAAGCTTTTCATTCAAAGCTCCCGCTCCCGCGGCGCCGCGTAAGGAGGAGCTCCATAAATAAAGCTTTTCACTGAACTTTGGCCAGTGGTGCATTCACGGCTCATCCATGTCCAATTTTGAGTTCCTCACTTTGAAATTTTAAATTAAATTTTAAAAGAAAAATTATCGTTCCTACTCAAATTGGAAGGAACTTGACCAACTTGACTGGAAATTCACAATGTCGGAAATAGACACTTGAGCTTTTCGTGCGTTTTACATTACATGTTCCTGTTCGTGTAGCATTTCTTTGGAAACATCAACCAGATATCGTGTCACGTTATGCGCGTTTTTGTGTATCATTATCAAGGTAAGGTCATCGATTATTTCTGAGTCTTTCTTTCCTACGTAGAAACCAATCAGCGGGCTGATTGGTGACATTAATAGACAAAGCAGTAGACAAAGAAGACATAAGGAGTATGGAGCAGTCCTATTGGTTGAAATGAGGGGTTCTTATAGACTAAGGGGGTAAATGATGAACTAACTATCGCCTCTCACAGGTTGCCGTTAGTCAGTCTATTAACCAATTTTGTTCATTGCAACCTCCCACTTCCACCAGTAGGATTCCTCCATACTCCTTATGCCTTCTTTGTCTATAGCTGTGTCCATCAATTTCAACAATCAGCCCGCTGATTCCATGACTGACTGATTTGTGCCCCAAGTGCGACGACCGGAGCCGGAGACGTAGAGTAGCGACTTGCTCCTCGGCGTATGCACGGAGGACGGAAAACATGAGAGAGGCCGAAACGACGCAACGGCCGAGCGGGCAGCGGGGTCTGTCCGGTGTCCATCAGACTCGTCACCGCGGCGCAAGCCTTCCGTTTCAACGTCCCTGTCCGGGGAGCGGGACACGCGGGACAGCCCGGGAGTGAGGACAGGGAACGGAAAAGCCGCCCGACCCCGAGTCCCCGACCGAAAGCTCCCACACGTATGGAAATCCGCTCCGGCGACGACGCGGCGGCCAAATTGGACGCCGCCGAACAAACGCGTCCATCCGCAGGCTCGCCACTCTTCAATCCGTAATCAGCCGCGGTAGCGCTTTGGCGGCCCAGAACTAGAGTCCCTTTATACTGAGAGTTAAGACAATGTGAATCCATTGCTGATTGGTTACCGTATTTTAGGCCTCCACAGTGTCACAAACGGGAATAAAGATTACATTTTCACCAATTGCAAAGATTATGGACCGAGGTATTACGGGTTCGGCAAAGGACAAACGGAATGAGAGAAGGAACGGAGAAAGGAATTTGTGAATGAGCCGATCAAAGATTACGAAAAACGTTCAGTTTGTGTAATCGTTATTCCCGTTTGTGACTCCATGAGAGGGTGTTGTCTTAACTCTCAGTATAAAGGGACTCTACCCAGAACCAGGGGTTTTGTTCTACTCTATCGAAGGAGCGGAAACCCCACCTCTCCGGGCTCATTATTCAAATTCATAGACAAAGTTATATAGAAAAAAGACGAGTGGAAAATGGAGAGATCCTATTGGTAAGAGCGGTTCCGGAAAAAAGAGCACGGGGCTGTCGGATTTTATGGACATTTCCATTTAATCGTAGTTAAAGCAGGTTACTAACCCAAATGTTGCGGTACTACCCCAGTTTGAGTCCATCTCACCCAACAAATTGGGGTACAATCTGGCGCTCTGCAACACCTAGCCGCCGAAGTCCGCCCAAAGCCCAAGGCTATTCGCCCAAAGCCCAAGGCTATCCTCCCAAAGCCCTTAAGGGAGTTGGCTAACCCTCATTTCTTCCAAAACCCCCTGTCGCCACCCTTTCACTGGGCGCCCCCTTCGTCTCCTCCCAGGAGGAACCCAATCAAGCAACTTCTTTGGCAGCATTTCGTCCGTCATTCTATTCACATGACCATACCAGACAAGCTTTTTGTACTTAGAAACGCTCACAATTACGGTCGTAAAAATACAATTTACAAATGGATATTTCGCAACATTGAAATTTAATTACGATTTTTCCCCTTAAAACGAAGAATTGAAGATGGAGTTATGCCAATGGTATAAGCACAGTAATTCTGATGTTCACTGGAAAAAAGCACATAAACATGGACAAGAACAAGTACTCTCGATTCAATAAGAATCTAGCGTAAATCAAGAACCAAGCCTCTTAATTTGAGCGGATTTCGTTTGGATTCAAGCAAAAATCCGATTGAATCAAGAGTATTTTTCTTGTTAATGTTTTCAAGAGTCTGGACTCTAGATCCAATGTGTTTTTTTGTTTTTTTTTCCAGTGTTCTCTGCCCGGTTACGCTTTACTCACTATTCTACCAACTCCATTCACGTCAACTTGGCAACCCTGCAACTGATTTATTTCGGGGCCAAGCGGTACAAGTGCGCATATAAGCGCGGCAGTATAACAATTACCGCGGTCTCACATAAACAAACGCGTCCAAGACTTCTTAACGAGACTGCCCGTTAAGCCCGATTCAAATTGGAGAGTTAGATGGCGAGAGCCACTAAGCAGCCTAGATTTCGAGATATCGACATCGATCGATCGAATCTGACAGCACTGATTGGTTCCTGCCTCATATGGGATCAAGTTTACTGTTCAATTGGATCCGGGCTTTACCAGAAAATGCCCAACCGTATCGTTAGGTGTGTC